AGATGATGGATGGATGTTTGAATTTTTGAACCATCAATTGATCGAACTTTTGGAAATATTCCTCATTAGTTTCTTGTTGATTGAAAGCAATGTTGAGGGTGAGTTTTATTGTGTTTCACATTTCTGTGTGTGTGTGTGTGTTTAATATGCCAGATTTTAAAATTGCTAAAACAGTGATGCAAAAAGCGAAAATGTACATGCCCTTCAAGTGAAAAACAGAAATACTATGGGTTAAATTAAATGTACTGTGTGTTAAAAAGTACTCGTTTTGCCGTAGTGGTGTATTATGACTGCATCAACGTGTGAGCAGTGTTTTACTGTTGCAGCTGCTTGAGATGGAGCTAAATCTAACTAATTGGTGCACAGATATCTAGCTCAGTCCAGTGGTTTCTAAGGATCACCTGATACATCTAACGCATTGTGAAATGGCTGACAGGAAAGGAAAGACAAAGGCAAGGATTTTATTCAAAATGTATTTCCGTTGTGGCAGTGAACAGAGAAAATCAACCAATGTTTTGTCCAAAATTTCACGTCAGCAAAATTTAACCCTTCCCCCAAAACTCAAAAACTTAAGCTCAGACAGCATTTCACATTATTTGTTCAAATAATGGCAGATAAACTGGACAGAGGTTGAGAAACATGGAAAAAAAACGAAAAAAAAAAATGTGTGCATCCATCATTATGATCTGATTATTGCATTCCAAGACTGTGTGGTGTGTTTTGTTCTTCTGCTGGTGTTCAGACGTTCATCGACAGCATGAGGAACTGTGAGGTAAAGAGGAAAAAGTGCAGTGAATTCAAAAAGAGCTGCAGGAAAACGAAGTCTCAGAAGTTAAATTTGGTTAAATATACAGAAAACGACCTAAACCAAAACCCAAAACGCCATCACAGGACTCAGACAAATCCCTGGTGTATCAGGTTTGGTCAAACAACCAGCTGAATCACTTGCAGAGATGAATGGATTCATTCAGGTGTGGCATGGATGTGGTTTTACCTGCAGCATGTTCATGTTCACTCGTCCCCTCTTAAATTTGTCCATAGACTGGAAAACTCCTGCATAAAAGACACAGTTTCAGTCAGCGCAAAGGAGCCAAAACTTTGTTCAAATTCATTTTAAGATCAACAAATCTTAACTTTTAGCATTTCAAAGCCTATGTGTAGTCGCTGTACACTCAGACGATGATTTTATCTGAATGTTTTTACGCACTGAACATGTTCTCCAGACGGACGATGCAGGTGAGATAATCATCGAAGTCTATGTCGTATCTGTCGTCAGCAAACCTCAAGGCCACCAGCTGCAGGAGCTTGTTGTTCAGATGCATGCCTTCACAGGAACAGAGCAGCAGTTAGCGTTCAAACCCAAAGCTAAACGCCCACATGAATAAGATTTAAAGAACAATCATTCCCTAAAGCTAATATCTATTGTTTTCATTAGATGTAGTGTCCTTCTCTGCTACTCCTGTTCTTACAAAACTAGAATCATTGAACAAACAAACACTTTTAGTCATGTGAACATAAATAATAAATGTAATTCAGCTGCTGAAATCATATGTAAACATGGGGAAATAGAATAAATGTAAATAAAAATGCATCGGCCGTGTTAAATCTATAGAAATATACAGGATACAGTGGGGGATAATTAGTGTATTCTGTAATATACTGCAAGCATATTACCAAGTAGACAGTATTTTCAAACAGAATACAGACCAGACATACAGTATTCTATAATGTGCTATATTAGTACACGATATATGGATTTAACAAAGTTCAGTTCGACTCAAGACTTGCTTCATCCATCTGAGAATGACTATAAGATGTTTTTCACGCAGCGGTGCTTGAATTACATCTTTTAATTGACAATATTGCATTTTGCTGAACATCTCCACATCTGAACAATACTCTTGATTTTAAATATGACTGTAAGAAGAGACAAGAAAACGTGTGCCAACAATTAAAAAATGACAACTATAAACTAGACGACGTTCAAACAGAATCCAGTCGATTCTCACCTGCTGCTTTGAGAGCGCTGCGAAGCTCGTAGGACGACATCTTCCCTGATCGGTCCGTGTCAAAGGACAGGAAGAGCATCTGCAACAACACGAGTTTCTCTTTAGCAATCGGAGCCAAAATGACTTCCCCTAACTTCCACCGCTAGAGATGATTCACAGTTTCACCACATGAATCAATACATACGATCCATTTCTTCATCTTTTCCCAGAAGACCTTAAACTCCTGGAACTCCAGCTTCCCTGTGCAGTCCGCCTGGTTTGCTGCGTCAAGAAAAAACTTAAAAAGCATTTTACTAATCCATTTATTTGTAATTTTAAAACCTATGTCCTATACATACAGAAGGAAAACAGGCAAACTATTGATGCAGCGATGACATAGCTCAATAATTCTTAAAGTGGGGTCCTTTGAACCCCATGGGCATCTTACCAAAGGACCAGAAAATAATTATTTAAAATAAGTTATCATCAGTAAAACTGTACTGACACATAGAAATGACATGTACAGTGTATGTACATGTACACTGCTTGCACACAACTGTGGTACTTATTCCCTCAAAGTAGCTTCAAGCCCATGAAAGTTCTGATGCGATGGTGACACATCAGCAGCGTTACAGCTGTAATCAATCCTCCCACAGTAGTACAGGTGTCCAGAGCTTAGACAGTTTGTGATATTCATGACGTGCTCGGTGTAAAAGTTAGGACAGGCTCCTTTGAGACATTTACCATGAAGTTTCTTTTGAAGAGAGGAAGAAAATGAGGTCAAGACCACTTTACTTCTACACAGGAAGTCAAAAATCACCGTCAGTCATTGACTTGGAAGGATACGTCCATGAGGTTGATGATACTGTGGCAGGTGCTCAAGCTCAGACCATCGAATTTGATCTCTCTTCCTGAGGACAAAGGATTTAAACTGTGACACATCAGTCAACAAAATATGCAGTAAGACTAAGATATTTAGTGAATCTGACCACTAGTATAACACCGCGTGGCAAGACGAGAGGAGAACAGCTACACATTGCACAGATCAGACTTTTAAATATGATTTTGATGTCTAATAATTGTCAGATGTGCAACTCAAATCACATCTAGTCTTAATGCTGAGGGGTTTTGCCTTAATTCCCACTTACATGTGAGCACAAATCTGGAATTTACTTTTTGAAAATGATAATCTATTTGTTTGTTGTTTGACTGAGCATGCCAGTGAGTTGTTTTGTATTGCATTTATATTATATTTTATGTTTGCTAAGCACCTAAAAAGCAGCTAAGATGCTTTATTTACTAAGTTCTTATCAGTTATTATGTCCAAATTGTGTGTATGCAAATATATAATATAGTGGAGCAACTTCTTGCTTAGATTTTAAAGGTTAAAGTCGCCTCGAAAGCTTTGTAACCAAACATTTTACTGCATGAGGTATGGTAAAGTCAAAAGAAGCCTTTAAAGCCTTTTAAGCAGCTGAAGTAAGATTAAAGTCATTATGTCATCAAGGGGAACTGGAATGTATGATTGTGTGTCACCTTCATAGCTGTTACAAGTGTGTTCGCTGATATCAGAGCCAAATACAGATTAAAAAGATTAAACAAGAGAAGTCCAAGGAAGAAGCCTTGTGGAACTCCATAGATGTTATATCTACCAGCTGATTTTTATTTCACATGTAGCATCTGAAAAAAAGGTTCTGTTTGAAAGAGCTCTGACAGAATTTGAAGTCAAAATAAAGACAGACAAAAGAAAACTGAAAAAAAAGGAAATTAAACAAGTCGAAATACTTTGGTTTACTTACGCCTGCTGAGGACGCCGTTCAGCATCTGCTGAAGCTCTCTGACGGAGATAGCCTTGTCCTGCAGACACAGCGGGGAGGAAGAAAGTTTAATGGATTAAAGCAAAATGCATAAAGTACAGCAACACTTGCTAAACTACAAACAGTACTTTTTTTTATCATGACATAAAACTAGTTTGAATGTGCAGTCTATAAAAGTCCTGTGAGGTTTACAGTGTTTGTCCTCAAATTCACGTCTTCCTCTATGTTGGAAAAATGTTTTGGCTGTTTCTGAAAACTGTTTAAATCTCATCATCTGAAAACATTGAAGCTTCCTAAAC